GGTCTCTTGTTTTGGGGGTTGACACTCTATCACTGTGCCGCAAGAGCCCTAAACTAACCCACTGGCGCTAGTCGCTATCTGTCTCCACCAACTGGATTTCGCTGACCTAATGTCTTCCTTTATTGTACAATAATTGCTTTGGATGCATGAGTGCAACTAGTCAACAAACTACCTATCAATGGATGGAGTAAGACAGGATTGCAAGAGCTGACTGACGTTTCAGAGTCAATAATGAAAGTGATGTTATCTTTATATTTGACAAGCTTTTGTGTACCATTTGATTTTAAAACTGAATTAACCTGTTGTTCTGGGACAGTTTAGTTTACTTATTAATATTTGTACTGTTTGATTCAGTAAACTCACCATCTTAAATAACCTTTGGAAATTAGGATAAGGCAATAAAACCACAAAAAAAAAGAACAGGAGCAGGTCTTTCAACGCTTCAAGCCTGTATCACTATTGAATAGGATCATAGCTAATCTTTCTGCTCCTATGATGCTGCTTGGCCTGCTGTGTTCATTCAGCTCTGCACCTTGTTGTCTCGGATTCTCCAGCATCTGCAGTTCCTACTATCTCCGACAATTTTCATATCTACTTTCCTGCACATTCTCTATAAACTTTAATTCCCCGACGGATCAAGAAACTATCTCAGCCTGAAATGTACATAAGGACTCTGCCCACACAACTCTCTGTGGCAAGGAGTTACAAAGACTCATACCCGTCTGAGAGAAGAAATTCCTGAGGGTGTAGACATGCTCGCTGAGCCGGTGGGTTTGCAAACATTTCGTCACCCTGCTAGGTAACATCATCAGTGCACCTCCAGTGAAGCGTCGGTGTTCAGTCCCACTTGTTATTTATATGCCTCAGTTTGTTGGGGCGTTTGGTACCATTTCCGGTTCTGTTTCTCAGTGGTTTGCACACAGTATCTAATTCAATATGTTTTTTGATGGAGTTCCGGTTAGAACACCAGGCCTCCAGGAATTCCCTGGCATGACTCTGTTTGGCTTATGCAATTATGGATGAGTTGTCCCAGTAGAATTCATGTTCTTCGTTGTCCACATGTGGTGAGACAAATGAGAATTGGTCGTGTCTCTTAGTGTCTAGTTGGTTTTCATGTATCCGTATTGTCAGTTTTCTTCTGGTTTGACCTATGTAGTGTTTCTCACAGTCCTTGCACGGTATTTTGTATATTACACCGGTTTTGCTGGTTTTGGATATGGGATCCTTTACGTTCGTCAGTAGCTGACGTAAGGTGATTGTTGATTTGTGAGCTAGCCACCCAGAGACACTGCCAATTCTCACTTGTCTCACTACACAGGGACAATGAAGAACGTGAATTCTACTGGGACAACTCATCCATAATTGCACAGGCCAAACAGAGACCTGTTTGAATTCCTGGAGGTCCTGTGTTCTAACTGGTAATCCATCAACAAACACATTGAATTAGACACTGCGTACAAACCACTGAGAAACAGAACCGGAGGTGGTCCCAAACACCCCAATAAACTGAGGCATATAAATTACAAGTGGGACAGAACACCTACGCTTCACTGGAGGTACACTGATGATGTTACCTAGCAGGGTGATGAAATGTTTGCAACCAAACCCATTGGATCAGCGAGGATGTCTACAACCTCATCCACAACTGGAGATACACATTTTCTTAAAAAGGTTAAATAAGAAATTCCTCTTCATTTTAGTCTTAACTTGGCACCCCTTTATACTGAGACTATGCACACTAATCATACACTCTGCTACAAAGAGGAACATTTAACATCAAGCTTCATAAGAATCTTATATGCTTCAATGAGATCACCTCTCATTCATCTGAACTCCAATGAGCAGAATGTCACTGATTTAGATTTTGCTCAAAAGACAACCCCTCCATACCAGGGATCATTCTCATCAAACGTCTCTGAGCCGCCTCCAATGAAATGATGTCTTGCCTTAAATACAAGATCCCCACTGTCACAATCCTCCAGATGTGTACAGTTGTAGTAAGGCTTCCCTACTCTTATGCTCCAGCCCCCTTAAAGTAAGAGCGAACAATCCATTCACCTTTATGAATACCTGTTGCGCCTATGGTGCTAACGTTTGTGTTTCATGAACAAGTCCTTTGTGTTGCAGGACAAGGTGAGATAATTATTATTATGTATCTTTCTCTCCAGTATTCCTCTGTTTCTATTGCGTTGCTTACAGGAATATATTTATGCTGTAATGTCCTGTATTGTTGGGATGTTAAGTTATTTCATGAAAAATCCATTCCCACTTTCAAGATCCAAACAATACCATGAGGGATGTGTATTGATGGTCCTTGATTAAAAAGTGAAATTTGGAGTTCTGTGGGAGATCAGTGTACCTCAATTTCTTTTGATAATTCAAAAGTACCAGGCCTGAGTCACAGCAGGGAGGTGAACTTGAATCTAACATCATAGAATCCCACAATGTGGAGACAGGCCATTCAGTCCAACAAGTCCACACCGACCGTCCAAAGACAGCCCACCCAGACCCATCCCCCAAACCCGCATTTTCCATGGCTAATGCACCTAATCTAGACATCCCTGAACACCATGGGTAATTCGGCATGGCCATTTCACCTATCTTATACATCTTTGGGCTGTGGGAGAAAACTGGCAGAAACCTATCACGGGGAGAATATGCAAACTCCACACAGAGAATTGACTGAGGCTGGGATTGAGCGTGGGTCCCTAGTACTGTGAGGCAACAGTGCTAACCACTGAGCCACTGTGCCAAATAGGAACAAAACTGAGTGGTCTGCCAATGAAGCATTCCTTTAAAATTCTTAAGTTCACAGTAAAAAAGGACCTGAAAGCGTAAAATAATGCCTCTTGGAAGGGAGGGTATGAATGATTTAAGGAATAACAGTAAATTTTAAAACTTTATGTTCAATTCACGTTGAATTTTACTGCTTTCTTCTTTTGAAAGATGCAACAATTAGCCTCAGTGGATATTTCATTCTATTCTGTAATTTCTGTTTGAATTTATTCTGTATTCCTGCGTAAATCCATTTATATATAAGAACATATAAGAAGTAGGAGCAGGAATAGGCCATCTGGCCCATTACACCCCACTCTGTTTTTCATTAAGACCATGGGTGATCTTTTTGCGGACCCAGCTCCACTTAACTGTCTGCTCACTATAGCCCTTAACTCCCTCACTGTTAAAAAAAAATCTATCTTTTCTGTAAACCTATTTAATGGTTAGCTTCAACTGCTTCACTGGACAGGGAATTCCACAGATTCACAACTCTTTGGGCGATGAAGTTCCTCCTCAATCCAGTCTAAATTTGCTTACCCTTATTTTGAGGCTATGTCCCTAGTTTTAGTTTAACTGCCAGTGGAAAAACCTCCCTGCTTCTATCCTATCTATTCCTTTCCTAATTTTATATATTTCTATATGATCCCTCCTAATACTTACAAATTCCAATGAATACAGTTGCAGTCTACCTAATTTATCTTATAAGGCAACTTTCGCAATTTCATAATCAACCTAGTGAACCTCCTCTGTTCCTCCTCCAGTGCCAGTACATCCTTTCTCATGTAAGGAGACCAAAACTGTATACAGTACTCCAGGTGTGGTCTCACCAGCACTCTATACAGCAGCAGCATAACCTTCCTTTTTTTAAGCTCCATCTCTGTCGCAATGAACAACAATGTATCATTTGCATTCTTAATTATCTTCTGCACCTGTAAAACTAACATTTTGTGATTCATGCGCAAGGGCACTCAGTGGCATACTGCAATTCTTCACCATTTAAATAATAGTCCATTTTGCTGTTTAATTCGTACTGACATCAATCTGATATATTGCCAGTCAAGCACATTTATTGTCAGAAAGCACCTATACTTTCTCTTCCAAGTTGTCAGAGCGCTACGTGGTATGTTCCTCTTTGGAAACGCTGATCCATTCTGTCTGTTAGGGTGCTCAATTTGCAACCGTTTCCCTTTATCTGTTACAGATCTCAAATGTGTTGCATTTCCTATGAGAATGTAAGAAGCCTATTTGGAAGATTTCACAGCATATAAAAAAAACCCAAATCATTAAATCTCCAACACGCTTAAGTAGCAAACGTTGTTTGTAGTCACATTATAGTGAATTCGAGTTAGCCTGTTTTACAGCGCCTATTCTACGTCTTAGATCAATTCTTTTTAGCGTGATTTCCGAAATAGATCCCTGCAGGAGGCGTGCAAAGTAACAGCATGCAGCAGAGAAGCAAAACACTACTGGTGTATTGACCTACAAAAAATTCTACTTTTCATTCCTACATCTGTCCACCACGAGCTATTTCCTCAAGTCATTTCTCGACGAAATTCAATTACTGCAAAGTCACTGGTGAGCATCACACATTCAAGGAATTGGAAGAGAGAATTTATTCACTATCACGAAGTTCATTATCATTTGTTGCTATTTACAATTGAACACTTTTATTAAATCCAGTTTATCACCCTTGTTAACAGTACAGGTGACCTACTAATTGCGGATAGAAAGGTGAGGAGGGAAACAAACGTATGTTTGTCCTCCACCATTTCCTCAGTTCGTTGATATTTGTGGACCGTCCTGTGGTTCTTGGGCAGTTTTATTGAACAAAGGATATTTTGGTATGAAAGAAATCCTTCTCATTTCAAAGCATATCATAGCACTGAAGATTAAATCAAAACTCAGGATGGGTCGAAATTTTTGTACTTTCGTTATTTCTTGTTATGCATGACCGTTTGATTGGATTGGCTATTACCCCCACGAAACTAAATCCTCTGGGTTCGTGGGTTTGCATTAGAATTGAATCAACATGCAGAAGAAAGCTAGAAATTAAATGAGAATGACTTATGGAGATTACTTGTGGAGAATTAAAACTACTGTTAACATCAAAAAATGCTAATGTTTTCAAATTATGCACGTGGGTTTGGAGTCCACCTATGAGATGGAAAGAAGATTAAAATGTGGAATGTAACATAGAATTACAATTTCATATCACTTTTACATCATTCAAATAGTTTGACAATTAAACTGCATGGATAGGTAAGTCCATTCTTTAACTCCATTCTGAATTTACTCTGAGTTCCTGCATAAATAAATGGGTTTACACAGGAACTCGAAAGCTGAAGCATGTATCCAATTTCCTCGAGACTAAATGTTGTCTCACTGACGTCAGAACCTGTGAAATAAGAAACATTTACAATTCGTACATAAACTATGGTCATGAAATATAAGGTATATAACAGGATGAAACTGCCAGAGATGGCAAAGAGTAAAACGATAGATTTTCTCCGCTTCTCCATCTCTGTGTCACTCTGTTTCTCTCCATTATTCGGGGTCCGGAATCTCTTGCGTGCTCTGTTGGCGGCTAGAATGTGCCTGATGGTCAGAGCATTGAGCAACAAAATCAAAATGAATGGAAAACACGGAGTCAAAATTACAAGAAGCCAGTCATATATGGCCCATGCAGGTGATGTATAGTACGTTAATTTTATTCTGCAGAACCAGCCAACATTGTTAATGATATACAAAGGTTCAAATATAAAGTACAAAAATGAATTTCTTAGACAGCTCAACATACAGATTGTTCCTATTATCCATGCTGTTCTTTTCTTTCTACAGTACTGCGCTGCCACCTTCGAGCAACAGATGGTCACAAAACGATCGAAGGTAAAAGCGACCGTTAACCAGGCAGAACTGTCAATAGCTGCATAGATTACAGCAATACGAAGACTACATATTGGTGTGATGGAAAAATAACTGAATGGGAAATAAATTCCAGTGATCCGGTTCAATATTACAGCAGAGATAATAAGCAAGAGATCTGTGACTGCCATGGACACCAGGTAGTAAATGATACATCTGGACAGACCGCATTTGCTTCGACACAGAATCACAATAACTGCAAAATTTGCTGTAAGAGATACAGAGAAAAAGAGCATGTGGAGAACGGAAAGTTCAATGTTTGTGCTTGAGATCACGGGAGCAAGTTCAGAATTAAAACACTTGATTGGCCCTAGGAAAAGAAAAGAATCTTTGAGAGGATCTGACTGAAATTTGCTCATAGCGTTAGAAAGTGTCCTTTTTGCTATACACCCTTGTTTCTCTGTTTATAATAGCCGTGAGATGAAGCTATGATACTTCAATGTAATTAAATCGAACAAAGATCAATAATACACCAAAAACAGGTTGAAATCATCGTTGGATGATGGATCAGTGACCCCTCCCAACATAGTTATAATCTCTTCCAATCCCTTCCGTCGGGCAGAACATACGAAAGCTTAAACATTAATACTAACAGATTCAAGAACAGGTTATTCCCCACTGTTACTAGGTTTCTGAACTGACCTCTCAAATTTTAAATTTAATGTTAATGTCGTTCTTTGTGTATTTTCTCTGCAGTGGTAACATTGTATTCCTTACTCTTTTTTTCTTACACTGATGCACTTTGCATTGTGATTAGCCTTACTGGATGCAAAACAAAACTTTTCACTACCTAAGTACGTCTGTCAATAATAAATTAAACTAAATCAAGTCAAATCAAATCAAATCAAAGTCTTCAAGAAAATTGTGGATCCGAAAATGATGATAGCAAATAGTACAGATGAGAAATAATAATACAATATATAAGTGGTATGGGGAAAAAAAACAAATATGGTTAATACAATGCTGAGGTAAGAACATGCCCTCACCTTTTAAAATTTGAGACAATCATTCCATTTAAGAGAATTGTGCAATCACTTTAATCATATAATCCCTACAGTGTGGAAGCAGGCCATTTGAGCCATCAATTCCCCACCAATTGGTGGCATGGTGGTTCATAGCACCACAGACCTGGGTTTGATTCCAGCCTCGAGTGACTGTCTGTGTGGAGTTTGCTTGCTCGCCCTGTGTCTGCGTGGGTTTCAGCTGGGTGCTCCAGTGTTCTCCCACAGTCCAAAGATGTGCAGGTTAGGTGGATTAGTCATGGGAACTGCAGGGTAGGGGGATGAGTCTGGGTGGGATGCACTTCGGAGGCTTGGTTGGTGTGGATCCATAGGGCTGAATGGCCTGTTTCCACAGTGTAGGGGTTCTATGGTGCCAACTTCTGAAGAGCGATACAACCCCACCCCTGTAAGCCATCATTTGCCATGACTAATCTGCCTGGACTGTGGGAGGAAACCTGAACACCCGGTGGAAACTCAGGCAGAGTATGCAAACTCTACACAAACGGGGGTGAAACGAAACTTACGTTCCTGGCTCTGTGATTTGGTAGTGCTAATCACTGAGCTTTTGGTAAAATATATCTCATCTTCACGAGGAATTGGGCAATCGTCTTCCCTGAAAGAATGTTTGTTAACATGCAATACTATCTCAAATTTTTTCTGTTGATCATTTGAATTTTTGTTCTCACTCTGACTAAATTAAAAAAAAGTAAAGGTAGAAACTCGTTCAGAGAAAGGATGCCTAGAAATTAAAGGCCTCGCAAGGATTAATGCTGGGTCCACTGCTTTTTGTCATGTATATAAATGATTTGGATGTGAATATTGGAGGCATGGTTAGTGAGTTTTCAGATAACACCAAAGTGGGTGGTGTAGTGGACAGTGAAAAAGATTATCTCAGAGTACAACGGGACCTTGATCTGATGGCTCAAGGGCCAAGGAGTGGCAGATGCTGTTCAATTTAGATAACTGTGAGGTGTTGTATTTTGGTACGGTAAACCAGGGCAGGACTTACACAGATAATCCTAGGGCCCTGGGAGTGTTACCAAACAAAGAGACCCAGAGGTGCAGGTGCATATTTCCTTGAAAGTGGAGTCGCAGGTAGACAGGGTGATGATGGTATTCTTGCCTTCATTGGTCATCTCACTGAGTGTAGGAGCTGAGACGTCATGTTGCAGCTTTGCAGGACATTGGTGAGACTGCGATTATAAGATTGTGTACCAATCTGGTCGCCCCTCTATAAGAAGGATGTTGTTAAACGTGAGAGGGTGCAGGAGAGATTTACAAGATGCTGCTGGGACTGGAGGCTTTTTATCATCGGGAGAGGCAGAATAGCTTGGGACTTTTTCCCTTGGAGCGTCTGAGGCTGAGGGGTGACCTTATCAATGTTTATAAAATCACGAGGGCATGGACAGAGTGAATAGCCAATTTCCCAGAGTGGCGGAATCTAAAATTAGAGTGCATAGGTTTAAGGTGAGAGGGGGATCATATGAAAAAAAAAAGAACTGAGGTGTAACGTTTTCATGCAGAGGGTGATCTGTATATGGACCGAGTTGCCAAAGAAAGTGGTAGAGACAGGTACAGTTACAACATTCAAAGGGCATCTGGATGGGTATGTGAATAAGAAGGGTTTAGTGAGAGATGGGCCAAATGCTGGTAAATGGGACTAAGTCAGAATAAATGACTTGTCAGCATGGATGAGTTGAACCGATGGGTCTGTTTCCGTGCTTACGTTCTGTGTGACTCTATGATTCTTCATTATTATTCAGAACTGTGAACAGTGACAATAAGCATTGACAAACACTAGATGCTTAATTAAGAACTTTTGCCTCAGATACCAGATTCAACATGAATTATGCCGGACGCACAATGTCGAAGAAATAATCCTGGGCACAGCAGGAATGAAATGAAAAATCTGTGACAGCAGAACTTTCTGTGGAATGGTCAGTGGTTACTCATTTGGAGGTCGACAGTTCTGTGAACCAGACAGTGGTACAGACACGATCACAATGCAGTCAGCAAAGTTAGTGTAAGGAAATAGACAAAAAGAGATGCATGGGGACAAGACAAAAATATATGTATGGGTGTGAGAGAAAGAGGAAGTGGAAGTTGGCTCCCAGCAGGATTATCCTTTATAAAGGACCTTTGTGAGCGTCATTACTTTGAGCCACCATCTTGCATTGGAAACTTTTGTTTTCACAATAAACTTGCTTCTCTGTTCATAGTAACCAATTAGTTGAAAGTAAGACTCAGCAATGTAATAATACCCAACAACGATCATTAATGCCTTGGAAACTGTTCAGAATTAAAATTAGCTTGCGAGCATCAGGGATTGAGAACAGAAACTCCAGGCAATGCAGTTCACTTCCAAAATGGTCATGACAAATTTTTTTCTTGTGTTTTTTTTAATCAAACACTCAACTTTAAATAGTATCTATTAAATAAATTAATTCAGTGGGTTAATTCAGAAAATATCCCATCTCTCATATTGCTAGATCAACGAACTATTTGTTAAAATTAATCTCATCACGAATGCCAATTGAATAATAACATCAGTGTGATTGTCATGTGAAATTTCCAAAAGGAAAGTGCCAGTAGTTAAATAGAACAACATTTATACTACACTGCTAGTTCGAATTCCCCCGCAGAAGCAACATTAAAAAAAAAACACTTGGCTTGCAATGTTAAAATTCACCAAACTGGACGACACCAATGACATTTCATTCACATGTTTACAAAATGATAATACTGTGATATGTCACCACAGAATCCCAGTGCCGATATCACAATAAAACAACAATTTTTAGCTGATTACATCGTTTTCAATGACGTCATTTTCAGAAAGAACAAGAACATAAAACAATTGGATCAACGTCGAGCGCCCATGGAGGAAGTGACCCAAAGTATGAATTGATGGAATTGATAATGCGTAGAATCCAAGTCACTGAACGGGAGCATGGTCACTTTGAAAGTGAAGAAATTATACCATTAATGTTGGAAACTCTTTTCTGTGAAGTTTAACTTAAAATGTTCGTATTGCATAACTTAAGGGCAAATTTATTCCTGGAATGAGGTGAAACTATCACATAATAGAATAGAAAGTTTTCAGTTAAATGGTATATCGCTCACATAAGGAAATTCAACTGGTAATTTGAAACGTTCATACAGCTCAGCATGATTCCCTTCACCATAATTGAATACATTACCTGGAACCCCGATAGTTGCAATGATGGGATAGTAAATGGCAAACAGCAAACCTTTTGGTATTCCGTGCATATCTATCAGCTGCTCTGGGTAAGTTCTATAATGCGTAGAAGGAAAGTCACAGTTATCCATAATTGCAGGCTCTAGGGGAACAATTAGTCTGTTGGATTTTCGAAAACAAAACACAATTTACACTAATTGAAAAAAAAGCACAGCTACTCCTGGGATCATGTTTATGTTTTGGTGGAATAGAAAGCTCTTCAAAATATGCGGGTCGAAAATGAAATCGGGAATAATTTATTCAGTCCCTCAAGCATATGCTGCTGTTCAATGCAATCATGGCTGATCAGTGGCCTAACTCCATATACCTGCTTTGCCGTATCATTTATTACCTATGCTTAACAAAGCAAAGCTATCTTAGATTCAAAATTAACAACTGAACTAGCAGAAAATGGAAAACCAAACATCCTGGGGCATATTACAAAATTCAATTGACAGGTCCCTCCGTCGTAAGGGCTCATTTCCTTGGTTTCAACCGAAGACAATAATTGGTAAGAAATAGACGGTTTGTAAACGTGAACACAGCCGATTGCTCGACCAGAGTCTTATTCAGTCTGCATGATCACGGGTGGTGTGGAGCATCATTCCACATCTTTCTGAGACTGTGAATGAAGGTCATCATAATTTTGTGCATTAAGTATGTCAAAGGCAGTTAAACCAAATTGCGTTCAGTGCAGCATGACCCAGGTAAACTTGCTGCAGCAAAGCTTACTTAAACCCAATGAATTTCAGCGTAACAAGGTTCGGCTAAAATTAATACGTTCAATGTGTCATGGCCTAGTTAAATATAATTACATTTGTTGCGGCAAGGTTTATTTAAACACAAGTATATTAAGTGTGACATAGTCCAGTAATTTCATTCATACTGGCGTGGCCCAGTTACACACAAATAAAACAAAGAACTGGGGACGCTGGAGATCTGAACCAAAAGCAGAAATTGCTGGAAAAACTCAACAGGTTTGGCAGTATGACCTGAAGACGTATCACCAGACTCAAAACATTAACTCTACCTTCTTCCCACAGAAGCTGCCAGTCCTTCCAGGCCTTTCCAATATTTATGTTTTTGTTACATTCTGTGAAGCAAAGCCCAGTTATAGACACATATATTCAGTATACATAGCGCCAGTCCTTCATTTATATTTACTCACCCTTGGGACATGGACAAACTTGGCTGGCTGAGAATGTATTGTCCATCTATAGTTGCCCTTGAGGGATGTTGTTGAACTACATTCTTGAAATACTCCAGTTCACGCCCTACAGGTAGATCCACCATGCCTTGAAGAATGGAGTTCGAGGATTTTGATCCAACGACAAATATGGGAAGGTATATATCTTCAAGCCAGGCTGTGAAGTGGCTTGTAGGGGATTTTCAGTTGGTGGTGTTCCTATGTATCTGCTGCCTTTGTCCTTATGGCTGGAAGTGGTCAGACAACCATAGAATCATACTACTGTACAGAAGAGGGCTTCAATCCATCAAGACTGTACTGCCAAAACTATACTACGACCTGCACTCGTCCCACTCTCCCACAAAGATCCATAGCTTTCAATAGTACGATATTGCAAGTGTTTACCCAAGCATTTTTTTAAGGTTGTGAGGTTTCCCACCTGTACTTTCCTCCTAGACAACGGAATCTAGATCGCCACAACCCTCAAATCCCCACTTTCGTTTTAACATTATGCCCCCTTGTTATTGTCTCTTCCACTCACGGAAACAGCTGCTTTCTATTCACTCCGTTCATGTCCATCACAATCTTATACACCTCTATCAGGAGCCCCTCAACGTTCTCTGCTCCAAAGAAGACAACCTGAGCTTTCCAGCCTGCCTTCACAGTTAAATAGTCCAATCCCAAGGAACATCCTAGTGAATCGAGTCTGCAGCCCCTACAGTGCAAGCTTATCATTTTGATAGACTGGATAGCAGAACTGCACAGAGTACTCCAGTTTTTGTCCTAAGCAAAGGCCTGTACAACACCACCAAAACATGCCATACTTGCAATCTACTTATAAAGACAGGTGCCTCATTTGCCTTCTCAACTACCTATCAACGTGACCTGCTGCCTTCAGATGTTTGTAAATAAGTATCCCTCGGTCCCTTTGCTCCCCCAACTTGCCTAGTGTCCTGCCATTTAGTGAATTACTTGTCACTTCTTATTACTTCTTCCAAAGTGCATCACTTCGCTTAAAGGGTGAAATTCCACCCACAACTGATCTGCTCACCTGACCAACTTGTTTGGTTCTTCCTGTAACCTAACAGTTTTCTCCTTCTTTCAACCACCCGACCAAAGTTTTTGTCACTGGCACACTTACTTACCGTCCTTCCTACGCTCTCATATAAGAATATCACAAACATTAAGGGACCAAGCATTGATACCTGCGGTATGCCACTGCACACTTGGCTTCAGTCACACAAATAAACGTCTATTACGACCCTCTGTCTCCCATCAAAAAGCTAATGTTTGATCCATCTTGCCACGTTACCCTGGATCCAATGAGCCCTTAACTTCTTTTTCAGGTTCCCATGTGGGAATTTTTCAAAAACCTTGCTGAAGTCCATCATCCAAATATTTGGCCATGTCCTCTGACAAAGCCATACTGTTTATCCCTGATCAAGCCTTGTCCAAATGAGATACTTTCCTTCATTAATTCCTCCAATAGTTTTATTAGCACTAAGCTTAGACCTTGTTTGTAAATTGGAACCACATTAATTGTCCTCCAGTCATTTGACACCATCCCTGTGGCCGGAGAAAATTTTAAAAATTGGGTCAGATCCCCTGTAATTTTCTCCATCATCACTCACAACAGTCTGGGATCGAATTCATCTGGAACTGGGAATTTGTCCGCTTTTAAATCAATCAAAAATCACTCTGCTCAAGAACTTCACAAACCATCTTTTTGAATTGTGTACTTGCATCATTCTTCTCCTGAGTAAAGACAGATATGAAGTATTCATTTAACACTTTACCAATGTACTCCAGCTTCACGCACTGATTGCCCCCCTTGGTACCACATTGGCCCTATTCTTTTCCTTGTTAATCTATTCCCCTTGAGATTCTTGTAGTCTATCTTGGGCTTCTCCCTTATCTGGCCCGATAGCGTTTTCTCATGGTCCCTCTTTGCTCTTCTAATTGCTTTGTTGAGATCACCCCGCTCTTTTTACAATCTTGTAGGGCCTCCATTGTTTTGCTCACTTTGTACTTCTTAGACATCTCTCTTTTCCTTTTTTATCCCCTCTATTTCTAGACACCTATGTTTCTCGGGGCTTTTGCTCCTAAATATCACTGTAAAGGGAACATGGTGAACCTATATTCCCACCATATCTTTTTGCATGCCTCTCATTTTTCTGCTTTGAAATTACCCTGAATTACCTCTATCCAGTCGATTTTGGCCAGATCCTGCCTCATTTTAATAAAATCTGCCTTACTACAGTCCAAAAACCCCTTTTCCATTTCATCTTTCTACTTTTCCATAGCAAACTTTAAATGTATGGCATTATGGTTACTATGACAATGCTCTTCCCCCTCTCTGCCTCTAACTACCCCCACTCCCCCCCACCCACCCCCCACTCCCCCACCCGCCCAACTACGGTCATCTAGAACATCTGACCGGCTACATTCTCAGAATTAGGTCCAGCACTGCTGGTCCTTGTACCACCATCCACAGGTTAAAAAAACCTCCCCTGCACATATTTCTAGAAATCTTCCCTTTCTAAATGCTTTATACCATGATGTTCCTAATTAATATTGTGATAGTTTAAATCTGCTGATATACTTACACTATTATTGCTTATATAGGGGAGGCGATGGCCTAGTGGTATTATCGCTAGACTATTAATCCAGGCACCCAGATAATGTTCGAGGGACCTGGGTTCGAATCCTGCCACGGCAGATGGCGGAATTTGAATTCAATAAATATCTGGAATTAAGAATTTAATGATGACCATGAATCCACTGTCGATTGTTGGGGGAAAAACCCATCTGGTTCACTAGTGTCCTTTAGGGAAGGAAACTGCTTTCCTTACTTGGTCTGGTCTACATGTGACTCCACACCCACAGCAATGTGGTTGACTCTTAACTGTCCTCTGGGCAATTAGAGATGGGCAGCAGACGCTGGTCCAGCCAGCGATGACCTTGTCCCATGAATGAATAAAGGGGACACATGAGTGAATTGACTACATATCTACTCTTCAATTTCCCGCTGACTGTCTGGAGGCCATAATACACTGCGACTGCACACTTGTTATTACAAAGTTCTACTCACATAGACTTCATTTGACGATTCTTCCAAGCTACCATCACTCCTTAATGCAGTACCTGACCCTCTAACTAATAATGAGACAGAGCCTCTACGATTACACCCTCCACTGTCCCGAATGAAGATCCTATACCCCTGAATATTAAGTTAACAGTCTTTCCCCTCCCTCAACTACGTCTCTGTGATGGCCAAAATATTGGCGTTCCACGTGTCAATTCACACCCCTAACTCATCTGTCTTACCTCCAACAATCCTGTCATTAATGCAAGGCTATCCAGCGTTGCCTTACTCCCTTGAGAAATTGTATGGCTGAATTCGCTCTGCATTGATTCCTTTTCTAAGATGTGCTGTGTTACTATTGAACTAACCCTCTGCTACTTTTGCCCCTACTGAACTAGCTTAAAATCCTCATAAAGGCACCAGCAAACCCTTCTAAAACAATATTGGTCCAATTCTGCTTCAGGTGCAGACGTTTCCAATTGTAAAGGTGTCAAATTCCACAGAAACAGTCTCAGTAATCCAGGAATCAAAAACCCTCCCTCTGCACCAATTAATGAGAATGTATTCTTTTGCTCTATTCTCTTATTTCTGTGCACACTAGCCTGTAGCACTGAGGTGATGCTGAGACCACAACCTTTGAGTTCCTGCTACTTAATCCGCTGCCTAGCCTCCTGACTGCTTGATACAAGCACTCATACCTCGTTATACCTATGTCGTTGGTACCAAGGAAAACAAAGGCTTCTGTCTCATCATTCTGCCAT